GGAGTACAAGAGTATAACACTGAGTAAGGTGGTTAGAAAAGAAGTGCATGCAACAGTCTAGCTATAAAAGCAGCACAGATTTCAGACAACAAAATTCAATATGCGTACTTAAACTGTCCCTAAGTTTAAATAGCACTTAACAATACTACAGATTAACTAACGTGCCCAAATGCCAGCCTTACTGTAGTGAACGTCTGCTCGTATTTAGAGGGTAGTGGAAAGTCCGTGCTTCTTGGGTCCTTGCCAGAGCTGGGGACGTCCGTCTGGTTCCACTGTGTCCAGAGAGTCCTCTTGGTTCCGAAAGTCCGTTTCAGGAGGAAAAGTCTCTGACTGTCGATGTGCCGGTTCACACGAATACCGTTAGAAGGAATCCTGTCGCTTCTAACTTTTCAATAACTGCTTTGGTCGCAGCGCTACGTTACTTGTGTAACTTAATTACCGGTTAACTCAGTTAAGAAAAAGACGCTACTAGTGCATTTATCACCGTGGGCAATGGTGTCTACAAAAGCGCGTTGGTTCTTAGTCTTCTGAGACGAGCAGGTTTTCTCTTTTCATCGAGGTCCTACGGAGCGAAAGTCCTGAACAGAGAGAACGATATTGGGCTGACCCCCCAATTTAAAGGTTGCGGAGGTTACTGATCGTGACGTATGTGGATTTACCGGAAGCAGTGGAATTATGGGAGTTTGAGTCCTTGAAAGGACTGTTGTAGTACCTACATATCCCCCCTTTGGTCTTAGGGATATGACAGAGTCGTAACCCTGAGAGCACAAGGTTGTACAGTCCATATTCCATAATCCATTGTCATCCATATTGTCCATTTAGTCCTGTAAAATCTCAGAAGAAGTTGAGTCCTGACAAACAGTTCAAGGCATGGGCATTTGGGCAAATACCAGGCTGTAGGCATTTGGGCAAATACCATGCTATACACATGTGGGTACATGATAACTCACTACCTGACTAACACGTTCATGTACCACAATTTAAAAATACCCATTAACTTCATTTCTTCACATTGGAAAAGAAAAGGAATGAAGGAAAGGAAAGAAGTGTTAGTTGTCAGGGGTTAGACCAAATTATCGTTCACCCCCCTTTTGGAGTGAGGACTGCTAAAGGGTAAAGTTTGTTTTAATTGGTGTGTTCATTCGTTTTTAAGAGGGGTCTGGTCTCTATTAAACCTGTCAATAATTTCAGCTAACTGAGCCTTTACAGACTCCAATTCTGAGTGGAGCTCACTCAGTTCGTCTGAGTTACAGAAACGAACATGCCTACCCCTATGCTTCGGATCACGCTCAGACTGTTTCCACCATCTCTTGTTTGACTGTTGGTAACCGTCTCGTTTCCAACCACCTTGGTCTTTACGACCTCTTTCACGGGGTCGGTTGTTGTAATTATTGTTGTTGCTGAAGTTTTGACCATGGTTGTTCCTGTATCTATTTTGTCTCCTTCCCCACTCACTTTGGTGATGGGGTTTTGGAGCAGGGTTTCTCCAGGTGTGTCTCCCTGGTGGAGCTTCACTCCCTTCTAAGTCTAACAGGGAATTTCCTGCATCCTGGAGACTAAAGACTCTGGGTTCGTCGTCAAGTCTGTCCATTGGTCTGACGACTGTCTCCCAGGTCATCTGGGCTAGCTGCCTAATTTCCCTCATGGAGTAGTAACCCTGTCTGCATGTCACTGTGACATGGTTGCGTACACTTGAGTGGAGGTTGTGTAAGAAGAGGGATTTGAAACCTCTATCTTCCTCCAAGCCTGGTGCACTGCTACCCTGGAAATATGCGTTGCGTAGCCGTCTATAATATTCACGTGGGGATTCTGACCGTTTCTGCTCGATTTGCATAGCACACAACATTGCAGACGTCTCGTCAGTGTATTGCTCGTACTCTTCCTTCAAGTACTTACGAAGTCTCGTGTAGCTATCACGGACTTCTGGGGTTAGTGTCTCTATGAAAGCCCGAACATTGCTGCTAGACGTCTTCCAGATTAGCCTAAGCTTTTCCCGTGTTGTGGCGTTTGGCAGATCTACAAGGCATCGGTCAACTTCCCGTAGGTAATCATTAACATTAATGTTTTTATTATCTGGATCAAAACGTTCAATGTCCTGCGCTAGCAGATCAATTTGACGTATACGAGGTTCACGGGTTGCCTTTCTACGTGACCTCCTTGATCTTTCTGAATATTCACTGTCTGAACTATTTACTGATTGTTCATGGCGCTCTCTATGTCTATGGTCCAGTTCATCCGCTGATGAAAGGCGTGGTCACGTGTGCGGTCACGCAACGTGACAAGGAAAAGTAAGAGAGAGAGGGTGAGGTGACCCGGTTACAAGGAGCGTGTACGCGATCACAGAGGTGTGAAAAGGTTGTGTGTAGACACAGCAATACACTCAGGTACAATAAACAGGGCTCGTGATATCAAAGTATGTGGGGGAAGGGAGTCGCACCACGTGGTCTACTCAAGACAAAGGACTTTGTCAGAGTTACCTAACCACAATACTTTATCACGAACCAACTCAAACAAACTTAACCGGTTATGGATGCAATCAATAACCTTGTTAACCGTAAAGCACACACAAAATAGCAGAGAAAAGAAACATGCAACAAGAGAGAATTTCGGCGGCAAATTAACATACAGCGTTCACTTTACACATTTACGAAAGGTACGCAAGGACTCCTCGTACCTAGGCTTAATGCTTGACGATAGACCGTTACACAGTAATAAACTGTTGTTCCCAAAATGCCAGCCTTACTTGTAGGTGTCTGCTCGAGGTCCGGCGCAGAATACTTTTCGAACTTTGCGACCCTCGTAGAGGTGGGGACGTATAGGTTACGGTCCCGGCGGCGTAGTTGGTTTCCTGAGGCCACAGGTTCGTAGCGAGGGAAATCTCGCGCCTGGAATGGACCGATGTCGATGACGATATTTGGAAGAGACTGGCCGCTCTTGTCCCTCTTTGGGTTGCTGCCCGTTGCAGTAGTGCGAAAGTTCGAAATATCACCTATTGGCTGGGTTCAGGTTGAATTAGATGCTCTCTAGCCATAAAACTTTTCATCGTGGCTTGTGGCGAGTAGAGGTTTAAGCTAGGTCTTCTTCGTCTGGAGAGGTGAAATGATGTGTTGCGCCTGGGAGTCTGGGTCAGAGAGAGTGATACCTGGGTTGTACCCCGGTTTTAAGGGTTGCGGAGGTCACCGGACGTCACGTCAGTGGTTCCTCCCGGAAGCAGTGGGATTTTGGGAATGTGGATGTACCTACACTTACCACCACTGTTTCCTGCCCAGGAGGGTGAAATTGCTGTTCCCTTGGTCCAGGCCCATCTTCGCCGATGTCGTAGGCTCTGGAGGGATGCCCGCTCTGCGTTACTTCGTTCTGTTGACCGCAGTCATCATTACGCTGACCGCCTTCGGACACCAGACCCCAGTTACCAACCAGGTCAAAAAGTTTGGCTCTGTGCTAAGGATATTCCTTTAAAGACAGATTTTAAGAAGTGTGTCGCAGGGGCCGGGGCTTCCAGTACTTGGTTGACTGGGAGGGATATGGCCCAGAGGAGAGGAGCTGGGTCTCTCGTAAACTTATTTTAGATCCCTCTCTAATCCGGGATTTCTATCGGCAGCATCCTGACAAGCCTGGTAGGCCACCTGGAGGTGGCCGTTGAGGGGGGGTACTGTCACGATGACAGTCGTGACTGTTGTTTCCCTGTGTTTTCCCCACCCTTGTGTTGTGTACTTGTCTCTGTCTGTGTTGTGGGCGTGGCACATTTCCCTGATCCTGCCTGGATAATCACTGAAGCACACCTGCCGTTCCTCAGCTCACCTGCCTTCAATCAACTCATCACTCTGACTGCATAAAAACCCTGGCCTTTCTCCCACTCCTTGCCAGATCGTTTGTTCAGGCACCGTGGTAGTTAACGTCCTGATCGACTTCAACTATTGTTCTTTGTGCTTCCCGTTGATTTATGGAATGATCTTTAATCACCGATCCTCTTGTGCTCAAGAAGGACCACTGACTTCCTGACAAACCAACCGAATTGCTCGAAAAGGGAGGTGTTCAACAACGGAGGTTCCACTGTATTAGATAACTGAAGTGATTAGAGCAGTCCTGATTACACCGGACTCACTCGCACTGCTGTTTGGAGTTAGTTACTGTATGCAGAAGTTAGTTACTGTATGCAGAAGCAGCAAGAAGGTCCACCTATTGCTACCTGCTTGCCTGCTCTCCACCAGCCTGCTCTCTGTGCCTCCTCCATCCACTTCAACCTGCTCTCCACCAGCCTCCATCCACTTCAACCACTGCTTCATCTCAGCCATTTCCTCCATCTCGTTATCGGACCCTCTCCTTTCCCTTTTTCTCCCACGGCAAAATCAATCCTCTTTTCTCATCAACCGTTGTCTGAGCCTGCATTTTGGGTCATTACCTGTGTAATCATGACATACAGTCTCTAATCTCCCTTAGATTACCTCTTCTACATAGAATATAATCTATCTGTGTGGACCTGCCTCCACTCTTGTACATCACCCTGTGTTCCTCTTTCTTTTGGAAATAGGTGTTTAATACAGCCATTTTCATTCACCTCGTCAAATCTACCACTGCCTGTCCTAGTAGTCTGTAAAATGTTTGCAAAAACTCTAAAAACACCTATATAATGCCCCCCTGCCCCTCTTTTCAATATTATTATTATGTAATAATTTTACACTGCCTCCTACCAATCGTTGCCCATCTCTTGTTAAACGTTTACAGCATTAGACAATATGCTGCGTTATGTTTCATTCATTCATTCCATACATGCCCCCCTGGAATGATACTGCGTCCCCCCATTGGGCATTCCCCCCACATTGGTAACCTCTGCATTAAAGACAGTTAAACTAGACCTACTGACAACATTGTACAGATAAGGATACGTTCAAAAGATGCTGCGTGACTAAACATGAGAAGCTGCACAACAATAATTATATTCTGGCTTTGTTCAAGCATGTAAAAAATAAATATATTATCTGTGTCTTTTCATCATGCAGGCTACCAGGGTGCTACATGTGAACAGAAAGTCGACCCGTGCGCCTCCAGCCCCTGTCATAATAATGGAACCTGCTATGCTCAAGGTCCCAGCCCCCTAGGTTTTGGTTGTGCCTGTACAGCGGGCTTCACAGGCCCCAACTGTGCCCAACTGGTGAACTTCTGTGCCCTGAACCCCTGCGCCCATGGAATTTGCCGCAGCATCGGCAACAGTTACAGGTGTCTGTGTGTCCCAGGTAAGCTACTGTGTCAAAGTCCGTCCTTTGGCATGACATGTAAATAGTTTTCAATATTTTAGACAGTTTATCTTTTCACTGCCTAAGTTTTAGAGGATATACAAACCATATATTTTCTACAAATAATAAGAAAACATTCATCAGTATAACACAGTACTCACAGGTTCCTGCAAGTATGAACATCAATTCTGTGATGGTCTTCTAAATGTTTAAATCTCTGCTGCTCTTGCAAGTGTTACTCTATTCCGAGAGATCATTAGGTGTGCCGCGGATCATTATCCAATTTCACTTAATTGGTCTGAAAAGATATTATTTATATATGGAAATTAATTTTTCTTCTTTTTTCAATGCGTGACAGGCAGAACAATTGAATACTTTTCGCTAGGTGGCAGCAAATGGCTGTGAAAACTAAATAAAAGAGAATCAAAAATGTTGATGAAGATATTTTTGAGTGTCTTTCTTCAATTCCTGTGAGTATATCTGTCTTCAACTGAACAGGCTGAGATTTTAGTGAATTGTGAGTGTATTTAAAGTAGAAAGTTATAATATTTTATTACTTATACTCTGTGTCAATATTTTCGTTTGGTGGTGTGCAGTGTGGTTTTTCTAATGTAAAATATGTGCCACGGCTCAAAAACAGTTGGGAAACACTGCTCTATTCAACCTGCTATAAAATGCAGCATTAAGAGCAATAAGAGAGGTTTAGCTGAATGATGGGATATTTTTAGACAGAATGATTACTGATGGTGCTGATGTCCCTGTGATCAAGCCAATTGAGTGGAATGATGACTTATCCACAGTCTTCCAATTACAATTACATTGCTGGGATCGTGATAGATGACTCTCCCCGTGGTCCCCATGTATAATCCCACACTTAACCATCTGATGTTCTTGTGGAACGTCGTACTGTCAATTGTATAACCAAGTCAGGTCATGAACATCTATTTGATGTGCACATTCATTTTCACTCATCTACAGCCATTGAGGTGATGCCCTAAATGATTAGTCTTTGCAAGACAAAACCAAAAGGCTCCAAAATATTTTATATTTGGTTCCATAGTGGGCAGATATCACACTTGCCTTACACACAAGAGGTCCTGGTTTTTTCCCCAGTGGAACCACATAATTAAAGGCTCTTGTGGCAGCCTATGTGGTTTGAGACAAATACTCACCATAAATTTTCCCATTGTTTCCCCTTCTGAATGCAAATACTCACCATACATTTTCCCATTGTTTCCCCTTCTGAATGTCATTGTGATGACTTCTGTGTATGTGTGTTTATGAGCATGTGTGTGTGTACAAGATCACCAAGGTTGGACAGATGTTGTCTGCGGTGTGCATGTCTACCTTGTGTAAGTATGTAAACCACGTATGTGTGTTAGCTTTAATCTGTAAATGCATGTGGACTGTCTGAGGGAAAGGCGGATTTGACACATCTGTTCTCAGTTTCCTGTATTCCAGCTTGAATGTGCGGCTTCCATCCCAGTCTTGAAAAGGCATTTGACATTTGACTGGCATTTTAGAAAGAAGACCCAAAAGGCTGCAGCGGGGCTTCTCATAAATCTGCTGATTCTCATGAGATCAAACCAGCATGACCAGAAGCCCTTGGGAGTGGTTTGTAAAACCTTTGTCAGCACTGGGACCCAAGTGATGAATTTAGTTAGGTAGTGTGTGGAGATAATAAAATGCATGCAACAAATGAGTCATAGGCTGACTTTGGTGATACTGTTGCACGATTCATTGTTAGGTAATGTAGTCAGTTCCAACTGTGTACAAATTCATCAGATATGTGCATATTATAGTTTTTTTTTCAGACTGACAGACTAGTTCACCAATTCTGCCACTTATCTGTGTCTCTGGTGCTGCTTCTGCATACAGTAACTAACTCCAAACAGCAGTGCGAGTGAGTCCGGTGTAATCAGGACTGCTCTAATCACTTCAGTTATCTAATACAGTGGAACCTCCGTTGTTGAACACCTCCCTTTTCGAGCAATTCGGTTGGTTTGTCAGAAAGTCCTTGACCCTGTTACAGGTGAGTGGGTGAAGTCTCAGGTCAGACAGTTTGCTGACCAGGATGTCTGGGATGATGAGGGTGTCTAGTGTTGAAAGCCCGAAACACTCAGTGATTCAAAGGTAAACTAAAACAAAATAAACCTCATGGCAATACCCTCGATTAGCACAATGAACAGTTTACCATCACGTCCTGTGTTTTTATGAACCTGAGTATCTGGACCCATCCAATGACCGATGTGACAGGACAGCTGACAACACAGGAAAGTCTGTGTGACAGCATGGAAACAGCTGACAGGAGGAAAGGTCAGGCCAACAACAAAAAACAAAATAATATAGTGCCAAATTTGGTCCCTGAGTATCTGGACCCATCCAATGACCGATGTGACAGGACAGCTGACAACACAGGAAAGTCTGTGTGACAGCATGGAAACAGCTGACAGGAGGAAAGGTCAGGCCAACAACAAAAAACAAAATAATATAGTGCCAAATTTGGTCCCCGGGCCTGAGTTTGACACATGAGCCCTAGATCTTGAGAGAGCAAAGGTGGAAGATGGCTCGACAATTGACAACACGAATACGAACCATGGAATGAACACAACTACGAGCAAGAGATACAACACTCTGGGGATTGAGAATCCACCAAGGAATGTGTGTGAGTGTGAGGGACGAGGGGCAAGTGCCTGGCATTGACCATTACTTACGAAACAACCAGTCAATAGTGATGTGTCGTTCACGAGTAATTTCGTTCAATATGAACAAATCGTTCATATTGAACTCATGAATCACTCTCTGCGAGTGAATTACTCTCTGCGGATTAATCACTCACTGCGAACGAATCACTCTCTGCGAACTAATCACTCACTGCGAACGAATCACTCACTGCGAACTAATCACTCTCTGTGACCTAATTACTCACTGCAAACAAATCACTCTCCACGAACTGATCACTCACTGCGAACTAATCACTCTCTGTGAACTAATTACTTGCTGCGAACTAATCACTCTCCACGAACTGATCACTCACTGCGAACTAATCACTCACTGCAGACTAATCACTCACTGCGAACTAATCACCCTTTGCGAACTAATCACTCACTGCAAACTAATCATCTACTAATCACTCACTGCGATCACCCTTTGCGAACTAATCACTCACTGCAAACTTCGTTGTCACAGATTTGTTTTCACAGATTTGTTTTCGCAGAGTCGTTCTCGTAGATTCGTTCAAAGCTTTGTTCTTGCAGATTTGTTTCATTTGTCACGTGACAGACCGCTCGGGTCTCATTCATCTTAGTCACAGTTGTGTGGTTAAACAGCAATGACAGGGAGGATGAAGGACACAAGTCATTGTGGTGTGTTTTTCTTTCTTGGGTTTTCACATGGTTTGAATTGCTTGTGGCATTTTGTGTACTTTGTAGACTATGTCAGCGAAAGCAAACCATGTTGCCTTCAGTATTTAGTGTTGTAGAACCGCGGCCTTCTTTACAACGCCCACAATAGGGCTAAAGTGCCCCCTGCTGGAAAACAAATGATTTGATTCGTTGAAGATTCGTTCACGACTCGTTCATTTTACTGTTCGAGAGTCAAAGATCCGAATCAGTAAAAACAGTCGGTCTTCCCATCAGTACCAGTCAAATCAGTCAAGTGAAGCATAGTGACGAAAAAAAAAAACAGTTAGCACAGCATCAGCAACCCTGTCGCTAAGGAGGCCCAGAAACGCTGGTAGAAGAACCCGCCCAATAACAAAGAAGTTTAAAGGGCACAGAACGAGTGAGATCCAAGCACCAAAGAAGGACAAAAGAGACCTCCATGTCACATTCCTTGACCTTGTCAATGCCTTTAGTCAGCTCTTGAGTAAAAGGATTTCCACTAATTCCTTGCCCCTGAGAGCAACCAATCTCAAAACACCAGCATTCATCCGAGATGGACAGAAAAAGCCCAACTATCCCCATAGCATACCAGATGCTGGACCCCTAGCCATGGCATGGATTTGGAAGATGCTTGTTGATATCGGCCAACAACTAATCTTCCTATAGGAAATTGCAGCCACCACTCTTAGACCAAACTTAGTACTCTGGTCTCCTTCAATTAAGTCTGTCAGCATTATAGAGCTCATGGTCCTGTGGAGTCTACATTGAGTAAATCACCATGGGAAGCCTGAGAATGGCATGCATGTTTCAGATCTGGCTTTACGGTATAGCCTAGCAAAGTTGTCGATTTGTATCATCTTTAAGGACAAGGAAGCAACAAAAGAAGCTAAGGTTGCCAAAGGAAGTGACTGTGATCACCAAGCAAAGATCTCAGACATTAGAAGATTTAGAAAAAAAGGGTATTAGCCTTTAGCCTCCAGTCATACTATCTACTGAGCGAGTTCAGTCACGTGATCCAAATCTGTTTACATCCCTCTGAGAGCTGTCGCAGCCACTGCCTGTGGGAAAATTCACACCGTCACAGCAGTGCTGTTGACGCAAGATCCTGAGCCTCTCATCCTGATTTTTGATTACTTTAATCACGTCACTCTGGACTCTACATTGGCTGACTTTCCTGTCCCCTCTGGGCAAGTCTGACCATAACCTGGTTTACGTCAAGCCATAGTACACCACTTTGGTCCAAAGGCAGCCGATCATCAAACGCTCCAACAGGAGATGGACCCCTGAAGCTGAGTATGAGGGACTGCCTTGACACCACAGATGGGAAGGGATGTACTACGGCTTTGCAGCTTGGAAGCGGACATGGGACCGGAAGGCTTCAGGTTCGAGTCCACCAGCTGCCAAGTTGAGCATGGCACCGTCTCCACACACTGCTCCCCAGGCGCTTAAGCTGTCCCCTGCTTACTTTGGTGATGGGTAAAAAGCAGACAAGTAGTTTCCTTACTTACTTACTTACTTTCCTTTCCTAATGGATTATCTCTAATTTCTGTTTGGATGTGGTTGCCCCATGGGTAACACGGGAAGTTAAAGCTGTCCTCAACAGAAATACAGGAGGAGATGAAAGCAGTAGGTCAGGCCGAATGACATCACGTGGTGGTCAGCAACATCAGAGCACCGCAGGGGACGGTGCTGTGCCCTCTCCTCTTCACCCTATACAAGTCTTGTACAACTAGTGTTGAGCTGTGTCAAATCCAGATGTTTGCAGATGACACAGCCATTGTAGGGTGTATTAGGTACAACAGTGAGGAGGAATACAGGCACCTTGTGAGGGTCTTTGTTGTCTGGTGTAAATCAAACTCTTTTGTTCCCTGCACAATTGAACTGTTCAACTCTTTATGGGTGAATAAACGACTGGTGGGTAAGGGAGAATGTGCAATATCCCTGCAATAACCCAACAGTTATCAGTGCAATAAACATATGTGCAGTAACCCAACAATAATCAGTGCGATAATCACAATATTGTTTTACCATTTAGCCATTTAATATTATTATATTTCTATTTTTACATGTTTATGACTATGCTTGTGTATATGGGTGTATCTCTTACGTCCATATCTGGGTGTGCATACATGTATATATACAGTATGTATATGTATATATATATGTACAGTGAAACCTTGCGATAGCATAATCTGGTCCAGGATAGAGCTCGTAACTCAAGGTACTCGTATCATGAGTCATTTTTTATCATAAGAAGTAACTCCAGCCCTCTAAATAACTCCCTTATCAGTGCTCATAACAATGGAACAAACATGTTTTTAATTGATATAGAGACATACACACACAAAAAAAATATAGTATATAACGATTCCTTATATGTAAATGTACTCTCTGTCTGTCTGTGCACCAAATCCAGGTTACCATGGCTTGTACTGTGAGGAGGAGTACAATGAGTGTGTGTCTGCTCCCTGTCAGAACTACGCCACCTGCAGAGATCTTATCAATTCATATGAGTGTGTCTGCACAACACAGTTTGAAGGTACATGTGTTCATGCATAGAATCTGGTGCCTGTATATGCAATATGGATGACTTTTCTCAAATCAGTCTTATGGAATATTGTTAATATTAAATATTTACAGGGATACACTGTGAAATCTACAAGGATCCGTGTCTAAAGTTACATTGCCAGAATGGAGGCAGGTGTGAGAGCACTGGACTCAATGCTTCCTGTGCCTGTGAACCTGGGTACCTGGGTGAGTACTCTTAATAAAACCTGTGTAACTGCCCAAAGCACTACTGTTTGTCTATTCAATAAAAATAGCAGTGTTGTAAACATAGTACAGAGCAAATCAAAAATATATTCCTCTTCATGAACTGTCACTGAAGCAAATCAGATTGAACACTTTGACAAGGCCACATTTAACATCCATCCATCCATCCATTTTTATCCGCTTATCCGTTAAGGGGTCGCGGGGCAGCCGTTGCCACCTAAATCCCACTGCACCGTACCAACCCCCCCCACCCCCCAACCTTCCTGCGGGTGGTGAGTCCACTGGAAGGCCACATTCAACAATCTTAAAAATATTATTACAGGTGTAAAGTAACATGAACGAGGACGCAGGTGTATGTCCCAATCTGTAAATGTAAGGAATGTGGACATAATGATGTAACAGTCACGTAGTTCTTTCTCCTTTAGTCAGCTTTTGTAACGTTATTTCCAGTCGTGGCTGCTGTTCAAAGCCTGATTCATGTAGAAATAAATGGTGACTAGATGGTGTCAAAGCTGCCATGAGTAATCATCAGTCCCTATGAAAATGGTATCCGGGCTCTAAGATAGCTAGCTAAGATCTGAGCTATAGCCAAAGCTAATGGCATCAGCATTGCTGTAAAACTGCCCGTGCAAAGAAATACTCTTTGATGAGAACCTTTTAAAAAGTTGTGTGTTATAATAAGCTGATCCATGTTGCATGAAACTTGTAATGATATTCTGAACATGTCATCCACCAGTCTCAGTTCTGTTCCTCAAATTGTAAGTGATGGCAACCTTCACTCACCACACAGGTGAAAAGTGCGAAGCCCACATCAATGAGTGTGAGAGCAACCCTTGCCACCATGGTGGGACTTGTGTCGACCAGCTCAATGGTTTTATCTGTCACTGTCATCCTGAATGGGTGGGGCCCAGCTGTGAGATCCGTAAGTGAGCCCATCAGAAAACCTTTTTTTATAATAATGATTGATTGTCACAAATGGAATGTTCTGGATCAGACCTGCAGTGGAAGCCAGCACAGAATGAGGATACACTGACCAACATGCCACGCCATTCTCTCTACATCATCATCGGAGCCCTTTGTGTGGCTTTTGTCTTGATGCTTATCATCCTAATTGTTGGCATTTGCCGCATTAGCCGCATTGAGTACCAGGGCTCATCACGCCATGCTTACCAGGAATTTTACAACTGCCGCAGCATCGACAGCGAACTCAGTAATGCCATCGCCTCCATCCGTCATGCCCGGTGAGTGAAAGGCAATGTATACTTTATTATTCAGTGTTCAGTGTGGTTAAACAGCAAGTTTATCTTAGACACAAACAATGCTAATTTCTTTTTTCATTTTTCTTTTGATTGCATGAAATACATAATCCTCTGTCAATTGCAGATTTTGCTGCTTTGCTGCTAGATTTATTAAACAGAATGAATTGGTCTATTTACAAATATTAAATATAATCCTTCAATCAGGTAATACAAGGGGGCTGAAGAGCCAGGCTCAGGAGTTTCAGGTTGCATACCGCTGCCGTAGAACATTCACCCCCTAGTAAATAAACAGTCAGTCTTTTGGAATAGGTATTCAATAATAATAGTACAAATAGACACTGGGCGAATGTTATTAAATTACTATGTGAGTTCTTTCAAAATTTGAGCAGAACTTCCAGAATAAAAGGCCCACAACTAAGGGTTATAAATCATTTTGTCATTATACTGTGTGAGAGAATTAGTTTCAGTATAGCTGTTTCTAAGATCTGTGCAGCGATATCCTTTATTTTTGAAATCAGTTTTATAATCATCAGCCTACAGTTAACAAGCTAAACTAAAAATAAATATATTCATAAAAATTAATTTTCAGTGCCCTCATGCTACTCAGTACTGCACACTGTTATAACACAGAGAAAGAGCTCTTGTACTAAACTATATTTGATTCACTGTTGTTTTTTAATTCTTACTTTTAGATTTGGCAAGAAGTCCAGACCTGCCATGTATGATGCCACTCCCATTGCCTATGAAGACTACAGTCCTGATGATAAACCCCTAGTGACCCTGATTAAGACAAAGGATTTGTAAAAAAAAAAGCATGAGATACATCCCTTACTGCACGCAAACACGTGCACATACACACCAACACCGATAGAGAGCGTAAATACGAATCTTAATTTCTTAAAATTAAAATTGAATGTAAGGGAATAAATATAAAAAATAATGAAAATAGTAAAACTAACAAAGTACACAAAGTAAACTGTAGTGTGAATGAATCGTTGACCTCTGCCTGTAGGTGGGGTCAACAAAGCAGAAGCCCTGTTTTTTACATGAACAGTTTTCACGGCTGTTGTAGAAATACGTGCACTCATTATGGTAGATACACCGTAACTTTTTCTATATATCAATCGTCTGCAGTAGATTGCCTTACAGTACTTCACGCATGATTAGATTAAATGTTCTCTCTGCATTATTTTAAATATTTTATATGGATCGTTGGTTGTGTTTATTTTCATTTATTTGTGCTTTTTCTTTGTCAAAATTGTGCCAAATGTTTCCTTTTAGTATTTTTGTGGTTGGTAGATAGAAGAATACATGCTAAATGATATTCACATGATTTACTTCACATTGTCATGGTTCTTACAGAGTAAAAAAAAGATGAAGTTAGTTTACTTGAGTACTGGTACCCCACCATTACACTATGTATGTCAGCGCTATTTAGAATAATCAAGTAGATATCTCAGTGCACAGAAACATAGTTTACCTGTTTATTCCTGTGTAAAACGTTGCCTCTAGTATTCACATTGTTAAATGTTGAAAAACCTCTGCAAAAGAAAGGAAGAGTAATGGCAGAGAAATTGGAGGAAGTAAATACAATATACTAGTATGTGGGGTTTTCCTGGCCTGCCATTGGAGCCACATTGTTTCTAGATCAAGGAATGTTTTATCAGTATTTTCATCTAATTTTTGGATATAGTTTCCTTGTTTTGAACACTGCAAAAACACATTTATATGTACATGTTGAATAAAGTGAAAAATAAAGATTTCAGTGGACATTATCTTAAGAACTCAGATTTCAAAAATTAACCTTACCGTACCGCACAATAACTAGAAAACAGTGCTTTTTTTTCTTTTTTCTTGACCTCAACTAGATCTTTATTTATAGCACAGATTTCGCAATACTCCTCATCTTTATTATGAATTAAACATTTTTTTCTCCACCAGGTCTGGTAATCTAACACACATCCATCAATATTGTTTTTTTGTTTTCATCATAGTTGCTGTTGTTATTATTATTATAATTGCTACTACTAATAATATATCTAAGACTGTAGATGAATGAAAAATGGACAGATACATCAGTTGTTTCAGCCAAACATAAAATCCATCTATCCATTCATTCATTATCTACAGCATATTCCTTTCCAGGGTCATGGTGTGGCGCCGAAGTCAATCTCAGCTGTCATCGGACAAGGGTTAGTATGCTCTGGACAAAAAAGAGTGTCAACCTAACCCTAATGGGCATGTTTTAGGATGGTCTGGACCTAAGTTTATACAAGTGCAACTTTATAGGTGGGAATATAGTTCACTAAGTCCCCGCAATGCACATGGTCATAAAAGTACTAGTATTCACACAATCACAGAATCTTTCTCCACACACACTTCTTTGTAATCCAACTGTATAACATACTAATAACTAGTCAATACATGGTCTCTACTCCATGTCACTATAGGCACGTACTGGTCTGAAGGGCTTGTACAAGTGCAGCTTTATAGGTGGGAATATAGTTCACTAACACAACAGAATGTCAAAATATGTACTTTATTAATAAACATAAATTGGTATCAACTTAATGAAAACAAAAAACATAATAGTGACCTGAGGCCTTACATACCATAGCACAGTCAAAGACCATATAGCTTCCCCAGTGTGCGCACACTCGCTGATTAACCCACCTGCCCATGTACCCCACGTGTCAAACTCGGGCCTGGGGGCGAAATCTTTTTATTTTTTTGTTGTTGGCTGGTAAAAAAAAATATTTTCATTAAAAAGGCTACATATAAAAAGAAATAATAAGAAACAAATACTACTGATGTGTTTTATTTCAAATTTAAATTTAAATCTACATTACATATCTGGAGAGAAGGGAAAACATGCACAATTGCTGTCAATTGCCGTTTTCAATAAATATTAATATATGTTATATAATATTATATTATATTATAATTAATAAATATTAAGTTTTGCCCGAGACTATGTCACAGTTTTTAATTTTGGTCCACTGTGAATTTGACACCCCTGCTATATACAATCACACAGTCTTGATCTCTTGCTGCCACCTACTGGTACAAAACTATACAACAGTCACAAACAACTGAAAAATGTACAATCTGGCTCCTACACAATGTTATGTCCTGTCAACGAATTTCAAAATCCTAAGGTCATATCCACCAGAGAGGGCACCAGACTGAACCTATACACCCTGGGAAAAAGCTGTTCAATGTGGGTAATGTAAAAGACCCCATGATGTATCCAGATGTTTTCACCGGAAACATGATCAAATGTAAGCTGCAATTGTTGTCTCACATATCTTCATAAACCTACTGAATTACTGAACATTATTGAACGTTCTCACATACCTCACATACTCCCACTCTTTACTATTACACATCACATTAGCTTTATAACCAAAAGTCTTTGTCTTTAGACCTCCCCGAATAGTGATGTGGCCATTTTCTTTAAAAGAGTATCATTTCACACAAAGGAACAATTATGCAAGAGTTGAAATGTGTACAAATTGGGAACAGAAAAGAAAAACACATTCTGTGTGATCATTTTTATGACATTTGTTTCATAATTAGTACTAATGCATGACTAATATTTTAAGGCCCCCTTTTTATCATGCTGGAGTACAGCCTGGAGGTCTTTGGTGTCTATTTGAAAAATATATATTTTTTAATATAGTAAGGTAAATAAAATTCATATAAAAATGGAATACACAGTAGCATAGCTTTACAACTAAAGGGGAATGTCCAGAATGATCTGTTTTATTTATTCTCCTCACTGCGAATGAGGAGAATAAATAAACTGCAATACTGAACATCAACGCCAGAACACAATTCTGAAAAACACCAGTCTTTATACATAGGTTTCATTTATGCAATTTTAAAATGACAGAAAAAAACAAGAGTGAAAATGACCTAGCTAATGACCGAGTATTTAAAAAGTCTGGTAACGCAAGGAATTCCGACTTTTTTAAACGCATCATTGGGAGTGAAAACATTAGCTGCAGAAGGAATGGGTACCGCCATCTTCTGGCTGGTTCCCCTACTACAGCCAGGCGGAGCAAACAGTCATTGTCGAGCACTTAAGACTGAAGGAGGACACAGTCCAGCCGTGAAAGCGAACAGATGTGAACCCGTAGACGAAAAGAGAACCAGCTGCAGAAAAGACGAAGAACCTGTGATTGTGCTATCATGTGGCAGCCCGCGTCGGAGCGATTGCAGGTTAGTTATGAAAGCCGTGTTTTCGATTGTTGGGGACAGCAAGTAAACTGCAGAGCCCCCGGTTAGAGCTACCAAGTGCTTTGTCTGGCTCCAAATAGAATGATATTACTAAGCTCCTACTGGTTTTTGTGGACCTCATTGTTGCATGTGGTATTTTAAATGTGAGGAATATGTCACAAGCCTCGTTGTTTTTACTTGATTTTATTCCTCGCGGGTGCGTATAAACGCACCTACTCACATTGCGCAAGCCCGCGGTTACTGT